AACAAATTTTAAACTAAAATGATTCTTCACTACATTAATTATTTTTAATAATTTTAATGAAATACATCACAAATTCAATTATATCAAAATTATTTTTCAATTAAAATTTTTATGAAATTTAACAATTGTTTATAATTTTTAAAAAAAATATCACAATAAAATTTAATTATTTTTTAAAAATTTCAATTCAAAATAAACTAAAATTCAATTATTACCCAAAATTTTAATTCAAAATCAATTAAAAATCCAATAATTATCCAAAATTTTCAATTTAAAATTTAATTATTTACCAAGTTTTCAATTTAAAATGAAATAAAATTCAATTATTTTCTAAAATTTCTATTCAAAATTAATTAACCAAATTTTCAATCAAAAATGAACTTAAATTAAATTATTATCCAAAATTTCAATTAAAATTTAATTATTTACCAAGTTTTCAATTTAAAATGAAATAAAGTTCAATTATTTTCTAAAATTTCTATTCAAAATTAATTATCCAAATTTTCAATCAAAAATGAACTTCAATTAAATTATTATCCAAAATTTCAATTAAAATTCAATTATTTCCCAAAAATTTTCAATTTAAAATTAAATATAATTTCATTATTCTCAAAAATTGGAATTCAAAATTAATTGAATTTTCAATAATTTGAATTTAAAAGCATCTAAAATTTAATTATTTCTAAAATTTTCCATCGAAATTTTTTTTTTTGAAATTTAATAATTTCAATTATAACTCTAAGGAAATTCAATTATTTTTAACTATTTTAATAATATTCTTTGAAAATTCAACTATCTGAAACCATTTTTCAAATTATTGTATTTTGTCCGCATTTTCTAATAAATTTTTAGTGAAATCATCTAAAATTTTAATTACAAAACACTTAAAGTTTCAATTAATTTCAAAAATCTCAATTTTAAATCTTTGAAAATTCAATTAAATTTAAAAAATGTTTTCCAAAAATTGTTTGATAAATTATTTTCAGTTCTGGAAAATTTAATAATTGTTTGAAAATTAATAATATCTTTGAAATTTAATTATTTCTAAAAATTTCAATTTTAACCCTTCGAAAAGGATTATTATTAAAAAAAAAAAAATTTATTTAAAAATCTGTAAAATATTTTTGTTAAAATAAAAAACAAATCCACTTTTTTTTGGAATATAAATCGACTAAAACGACTTTTTTGTGTCTTTAAGTTGATTCGAGGCCTGTGTTTTTATAATTAATATTTAATAGGTATTCGTTGGCCCCTGGTACCTTAAAAATTAATTTTTAAAAATAAATGTTTTTCAAATTACTATCTTATACGAAATTTCCTGGCGCATCTTTTTTCTCATCATACATTTTTTGTACAATTTTTGAATCAATATACAACTTTAAAAAGAATTTCGTTGGTAAACGTTGTGTACTTCAGCTTTGTGAATTGAATTTTCGAATTTGGAATTTTAAAGAAACTTATTCCGAAATTTGGAAACACAATTATACAACTTTGGCAAAAATAAGAAAAAGAATTGTCAAAATTTGACACGTCATAAGATTACTATTCAAAAAAACACGTGAAATCAGAAAAGGCCAACTTCAAGTTAGGACAGAAGGACAGACCAAGCATTTTATTATTATATAATTTACCTAACCAAGCAGACGCAAACATTTGCAGCTGCTTGCTACGAAATTTCCCCTTCAAAACCTACAAGGTTAGTATGCGCAGAATTCGTAAATTCGTTCTATTAGCAGTACACGAACTTAAACGACACGCCCACCGTGTGCACGTTTACCATGCCACTACTCACTGCGGTAAAGCGTGGAAGTTTCACCTCCTGGTTCTAGTCTTCTTGAACGGCATGTTGGAAACCATTTTGGTTATATGAAATCAAAACATAACCCCAAATAATCATCGTATTTGACATTATTAATAAAAAAACAAATAGAAATAAAAAATAAATAGTCATTAAAAGATTATAATAATGATAAAAAAGTTAAAATAAAAATTTAGTGAAAAAGTGTTTGGCAATTTTATCTACATAGTGTAAATAAAATAAAATAAAATTGCCAAACACATTTTCACTAAATTTTTATTTTAACTTTTTTATCATTATTATAATCTTTTAATGACTATTTATTTTTTATTTCTATTTGTTTTTTTATTAATAATGTCAAATACGATGATTATTTGGGGTTATGTTTTGATTTCGTATAACCAAAATGGTTTCCAACATGCCGTTTCTGCTATCACGTGATGACTTAAATCATCGCGACTCCTCTTCAATGTTTTTTTCAAACTTCTCTGTAAATCGGGTTGCATATTTCTAAAGTAAAATATACTAAAGTCTGCATAAACTTTAACATTTTATTTGGGGTGATTCATAGTCAAATAATCTTACTGTATATACAAAGAGATATAAATGTGCCTGCAAATTAAAAAAATAAATTTTTCTCTTGAAAATTAAAAGTTTCGTGGATTTGCTTACATTTTTTTGAAAATCCAAAAGTATTAAATTAATTAAACAATTGTGGAAAATTAAGTTTTCAATTTAAGATACTTTTACAGTTATATACGGCAGAACTGCTTGTAAAATTAAGAGGGAGAAGCAACTTTGTAGATACAATTCATTATTGCAATTCATTTCAATAAAAGTTATAAAATTAAAAAAAAACATCATTTTCCTGATATTTTTAACAAGTTTTACAATAACAACAATATATTGTTTCAACAAATTGTAAATGATCTAGAAATACAATTAATAATATTTGTTTAAATTGTAAATAAAAAATCTTGCTCAAAAAACTATAAAAAATATTAATAAACATTTTCTAAGGATTTTTCCTTTTATTTGCATTTTTTGAAGGGTTTTTTGGGGCTCTTTAAAAAATAGTTATAAAATTTTTTTAAAATATTATTTCCTTAAAATCATTTTGAAATTTTAGAAACAAATATCATTTTTGTAATCAGTTATCCTGAAAACACTAAAGTAACAACTTTCGAGTAATTCCAATCAAAACTTTTTTACGGGTAATTAAGGAATTAATTATGAATATAGGCTAACGTTACGTTTAATTTAATGGTATTATATATAAAGTTATTCATATGTGTTTAATTTATGTTGTAAATTAACATTGTAATAAATTCATTATTTGGTTTAAAATTTAGATTTTTAATGATGTTTTTCATACTGTATACAAATATTAAAAATATTTTTTTTATATAAAATTTTATTGTTTATAAATAAAGTACAAACAATAACTATATTACGAAAGTTTACAATCGGAGTCTAATATTTAATAACTTATGGTAGTAACATGTGTTATAATATAAATTTATCTATTAAATGAAACGTTAAAAATTATTTCACTAGGTGACGAAAATAAACGTTAAACTTGAAAAGTATGAAAGTTTATTAAAAGTTATAATTATTAAGAAATTTAGTCTTTTGACTTCAATTAACACTTTATATTATATTATATTCGACACTTTTGCCTAATAAACAAAAATTACACGTTCCCTATTTTAGAACCCATTCGGCCAATGCCCAAAACACAATAATGAATCTCTCGCGCTCGATACCCATCGAGATCTGCGCTCTCATACCAAATACCACTCCAAAACGATCCTTGACACTGTTGCCAAATATTTTAAACAAAAATTCCTAACACATGTAAAAATGATTCACTTTTTCTGTAAACTACGTTATAAAGAACATGTGTACATTATATAGCACATTTATTAACACGTGTTTAGTAAGCGAAAAAGATTTATTTCAAAAGATTCTCATGAGATTAACATTCATATGTTGAGAGCAGCGCAGAAAATCCATGGTTGTTACCAATGATTTTCTACTGATTTTAAGAATTACCTTCTTCATTTTAATGCATTTTTTAAAAATATATTGTATGATTAATTAATTCAAGCAATTTGATAATGTTTCTCAATATCATTTGTTTATTTTTCTTTTAAATGTTTAGTGAATAATTAACGTTTTTTTGGTTTGTATTATATTAATGATGAACGCATCATGTCACTAATAATTGTTTTTCAGCGGTTATTAATTCATTTTTTCATTTTTTACTCTAATATACATAAATATTCATCTTACCCCAATACCAATGAGTATGTTTGATCTTGCTCCAAAGATCGACGTTACTGACATCATTACATCACAAGGTAAAATGTCTAACAAATTAAGAAATTGCTATGACTCGTAAAAAATCAAGCTGCTCAATAAGAAAGCAGCAGCTCGCTTTCATACAAGTACTACAGATCCCAATATACTGCTCTTCTTTCTCATTCATAAAATATGCGCGCATATTTTGCTAGTTGATAATATACTAAGGGACAGTCCACTACCTTATTCTAACTTTGTCAGCGAAGAGCAATTTACGCTTTACCTATGAGCTGAATTGTTAATAGTAAAAATTAGTATTATTTCTAAACTTTATTATTTTCTCTTTAAATTATTTATTTTATTTTTTGTTAATTAACTTCCGTCTTTAACACAGTAAACCTGAAAAAACATCTGTATAAAAAAAATTTTTTTTTTGATTTAGATGATTCTGTAGCGAGTTACGTCAAACACCGTAAATCTATATTTTTACGAGGTGCCTGAAGAGATTTACTGCCACTCGTTGAATTTGCAATATTTTTCAATCAGACTTTAGGAAAATATACTTCATATATTGTACCTATTAATATATGGAAATTAAATTAATAAAGTAACACACTTTATATCACTGAAAAAAATTATTAAAAAAGTACCTTTTTACAACGAATTAACCATACCCCCCCTTAAAATGAATTTGTTTTTGTCAGTGAATCCATATAAAAAGGAGTCCCTCTTAAGATCTTTAGAATCAAAACATTCATTAGAATAATATTCTTTGAAACATGTGTTATGAGATAGTAAAATAAATATCAATATATGAAAACAATATATTTTTCAATTCTTAGTAATTTTACCTCTTATATATTATTTTACTCAATATAAAATATTGATTGTCTCACAGACAGTAGCAGCTCATGAACAAGCTATGAGGGAACAGGCTAAAAAGATGAATGTTGCTTCGTTGCGTTCAGGGGAACAATCTGGTGAAAGTGCAGAAATAAAACTAGCGAAGGTAAATATAATTTATATTGTCTTTGATATGAAAAAATTCCTTATACTACATACTTTCAGGTATTAATGCGACAAAAAGCATTTTTTCATTTTAACTGTAGCTCTTCATATCGGATCAGCCATTTTGAATTTTGAAAAACTAACATCATACTCGAATTCAGCGGCCCCGAAAATCTCTGAGTAAGAAGTTTCAATCGAATGCGATCAATTTTGCTTTCTCGTGGAGGAAGCTTTGTAGTCCTTTCGTTTGTAAAAATTTTCAAAGTATCGGAAACAAATTTTTCTCTATATAGAAACATGTCATATGAGATCCTGATCAATTGTCCGGATGTATGTATGTGTGTGTGGATCCCTTTTTTGTTTAGAAGATAACTTTAACAGGTTTTAATGGATTTAGATAAAAATTGGTAGGCTCATTTATCATATTAATATCTCAAATCTGACCAAAGGATTTTAAAAAATACCCAAAAAAAAAATTTTATCGTCTTTTTTCCAAAAAATATTTTTAATTGAAAAAATTTTTAAATAGACACATTTAAGGTTATATATAATAAAATCATATTCCTGACGTCAAGACAAATCAATCAGTATATATAAAGTATAGTTTTAATTTAAATTTAAAGAATTAATGAAAGTTAAAAAATAAGAAATTCTCATTTTGGCTATAAAATTTTGTGATTTTATAGATGAAATAATTGTATTCCTTACATGAAAACGAATCGATTGGTATATATAAAACTTACGTTTGAGGTAAATTTTATAAATTAATGAATTTTAAAAAATAGAAAATACACATTTTAGCTGAAAAATTTTATATTTATTTAAATTCAAGTTTAAATATAAAATAATTGTGTTCCTTGCATTAAAACGAATCGATATAATTGTAAATAATTATAAATTATATGAGGCATTCTATTTCAACTCGTTCCACCTTCAAAAGACGATCGCTAGCAGAGCGTTTTTCAAGAGATTTTTATTATATAAAATAGAAAATAATCTTATAATGTTATACACTATTTCGAAAGAGAATTTAATGATCTTTCGATTGGTCTTGACATTTTTTTAATTTTCTCACAATTTCATACAGAAATCTTGATTTGAAATATAAAACTCATGATATCTCAAAACACATCCCCTTCAATTTTATTTTAATATATATGAAAATAAAGCTTAGTTTTTCTAGTTTCAAACTCCGTTTGGTTTATCATGGACATTTGTGAGGATTTTTGTATAACAGTGATTCAAAATATGTGTTTTTGAAAACTTTGACACGAAGTATGAAGTTGAATCCTAACCCATTCAACCTACGTCACACACGAATTTCATTGTTTTGAAAAAAATCACAACCTGTACAATTTATTTGAAATATTTATTCATTTATACAATAATTATCTTTAAATAAATAATTTGAATAAATGTGTTCTAAATATTTTAAATTTAATCTTCTAATAGCTTTTATCTTTCATTAGCATAATTTTTATTATTTATAAGAGACAAATAAAAAGCAATATTAGTACGCAATATTGCGAATTTTTGCACCGTGATAATAATTGTTGCTATATGAGAACAATTTTCCTAATTTTTTGTACTTCTGAGATTTTTAAGCAAGAGTCAAAGTATGATTTACTCTGAAAATTACAAAATAATTTTAATGAAATACAATGAAAATTACGACATATTTTCAATACTGCTTTTAAAGTACTTGTTTGTTTAAAAAACAAAGTTTTGAAAATATTTCTAAATTTTTTATTTTAAGTAATTTTTTTCTCCAAATAAATTCACTTAATTATGCCAAACATTTAATTAAGTTATTTGAAAATATTTAGGAGCTGTTTTTTAGACTTCTTTCCAAAAACTCCTATTTACATTTTTTAAGTGAACCACAAAATTTATTTTACAACAAAAATGTGAGCTGTTTTTCAATTTTTTAATTTAACCTTAATTTTCTGGTATGCTTCAAAATAATCTTTTAACAGTTTGTGAAGAAAAATAACTAACAGTTTACTTCAATAATTTAATTTAAAATGGCATTGCCTAAATACGGTAAAAGTGTGAATCCATTTGGAGTAAAAAATCATGGAAAAGGAAAAAATCTTAGAAATATTTCGAAACACCAAAAACTCAAACTGCCTGAATTTTCAAAAGCAGGATTAAAAATTTGTCATATCTGCCGAAAAAAATAGATTTGCTACCGCAACCGATTGTTTTATCAGAGAATCTATCACGTAAATATTTTTACTATATTTAATTAGATTTAATTTTTAATTTTCGTCATGAAAAATAAATAATGTCCTTACAGCCATGGAAGAAACAGAACAGACATCAAACATTCTTGATGACTCCAGCATTCACTGCATAGAGAATTCTAGTGAAAAAATTGAATTTCTATCCTCTGAAGAATTTTGTCAAGTGGGACGTGAAGTTTTGGAGCAAATAATAGAGAAATTTCAAACATCTACCAGTGTATCCGAAAAAATCTTACTTTTGACTCTTGCTCCAAAATCTTGGGGTTATAGAAAATTAGTTAACGTGTTTGGTGCAACTTATTCGCAAGCAAAAAACGCGAAGAAACTTGATAGGGAACATGGAATTTTAACTTCACCAAATCCGAGGTCTGGTCATCCTATATCGCCTGAAACAAAAAAAATTGTTACAGAATTTTATGAATCTGATGAGATCAGTAGATTGTTGCCAGGAATAAAAGATTGTATTTCTTTAAAACAAGATGATGGCTCTCGAATTTCTGTACAAAAACGATTGCTCCTATTTAATCTTTCAGAGGTTTACGATCTGTTTAAAGAAAATTACAAAAATGCTAAGATTAGTCTTGCTAAGTTTTGTCAGTTGAGGCCACCATACTGTGTCTCGGCAGGGTCAAGCGGTACACACGTGCTATGCCTTTGTGTACATCACGAAAACTTTAAGTTGATGATAGAAGGATCATCAATAAAGAATTTGACTAAAGACTCCGAAAAACAATTATCTAATTACAAAGAATGTATAAAATTAATAGTTTGTAGTAACCCTCAACCACATTGTTTTTTATACGAATGCGAAAAATGTCCCGGCAAAAGTAGAATGGAAAGAATTTTAAGAGTAATCTTTGAGGAACACGGAATTGACAGAATAGAATTTCAAGTTTGGCAAAATACAGATAGAACGACTCTCAGAACAGAGGTAATGGAAGTCGATGATTTTATTGATGAATTTGGAGAAGAACTATTATCTTTGAAAGTCCATGATTATGTTTCCAAGAAACACTCTTCTTTCTTGACGAATTTAAGAGATCAGTTGCTTCCAGATCATTTTTTGATTCAATTTGATTATGCGGAAAATTACTCATTTGTGGCGCAAAATTTTGTGCAAGCTTTCTATTGGAATAATAGTCAGGCGTCATTATTTACTGTTGTCATCTACTTCAAGAAAAATGGGCAACTCATGCATAAAAGTATGATTATCATATCTGATAATTTAAATCATGACACAATTACGGTCTATCAGTGTCAGGAGCTAATAATTTCCTATCTGAAAGAAAATTTTGAACCTTCGAAGATCATTTACTATTCTGATGGTGCTCCTCATCAATTTAAAAATAGGAAAAGTTTTGCCAATCTATTGTGTCATCAAACCGATTTTAGGATTCCAGCAGAATGGCATTTTCATGCTACAGGTCACGGCAAAGGACCTTGTGACGGTCTTGGAGGAAATCTGAAACGGCAAGCTCTTCGTGCAAGTTTGCAGCGTAAAGGGAGTGAACAAATACTTTCCGCGGAAGCATTGTTTAATTGGTCCAAGCGAAATTTCCCTGAAACTGAAATTCAATTTATATCCAAAGAAAAGTACTCCAGGACTAAAAAATTTCTTAAAAAAAGATTTAATGAATCTAAAACAATTTCAGGAACACAAAAATATCACACCTTCATTCCTGTTTCTGAAACACAAATGCTTTTAAAAAAATATTCTTCGTCCGAGGAAAGTAAATTTTTCAAAACTAAATAAAGAAAAAAATTTGTTATTTAAAAATTAGTATTTTATCAAGGACTATAATTCTTCTGTGTTTAATTTTTGCTGAAATAAAAAATGTTTCGTTTAACCTACAAAAAAATGTCTTTTTTTCATAAAATAAAAGTATTTATTTAAAATTTTCCTCCAATAATAATTGTATTTAATATTAAAAAATTAATTTGGTGAGTAATTTTAAATTTAATCTTAAAAATCACTTAAAAGCATTTTATTAAAATAAATACGATATTATTAATCTCCTTACAGAAAATTTTTATTATTATAGGTTGCGATTTTTTTTCAAAACAATGAAATTCGTGTGAGACGTAGGTTGAATGCGGGTTAGGATTCAACTTCATACTTCGTGTCAAAGTTTTCAAAAACACATATTTTGAATCACTGTTATCCAAAAATCCTCACAAATGTCCATGATAAACCAAACGGAATTTGAAACTAGAAAAACTAAGCTTTATTTTCATATATATTAAAATAAAATTGAAGGGGGGGGTGTTTTGAGATATCAAGAGTTGAATATTTCAAAACGCAATTTCTGTTTGAAATTGTAAGAAATTAAAAAAAATGTTAAGACCAATCGAAAGGTCGTTAAATTCTCTTTCGAAATAGTGTGTAACATTATATAAATTATTTACTTTTGATATAAAAATATTAACTTAAAAAACGCTCTGCTGGCGATCGTCTTTTGAAGGTGGAAAGGGTTGAGATAGAATGCCTCATATATTCTTTTTCATTAATATTTAGATATTTCGGTTAAAATATGAATTTTTGATTTTTTAACTTCCATTAATTCTTTAAATTTTACTCAAATGTATAGATACTCTAATGTTTATATTATTATATTATTTTTGTATGTTTATTTTAATGTTAATGCTTTCTCCACGAGGAAGCAAATTTTTTTGCTGATCGTAAAGAGGAAGCAAAATGTTCATGTAATGAACATCTGAATTTACAACTTGTTTATTTTTGTCGTCCGCCATATTG